TAAATTTCATTTAACAAAAAAATTGAATTTATTTGGGAGTTAATGTGTTTGTGGCGGTAATTTAAATACATTAAAACATTAATATCGATGAAATAATCGTCGATAATGGCTTGCTCATTTCGTTTTGTATTCCTTTTTTGAAACAGGCCAACATTAAATTGATAATGTGATCAGTCATCGGAGCTTTTTGCCGCGTGCGTCTTCGCCGACAGTCGGCAACCCTTCAGAAACATCTCACAAACATCTTCGAAAACATTCCTATCACTCACATTTTATGTGTTATCATTTTCTTTTATAGCCCCTCGAAATCATGCCTTTAATTTTATTTCATTTGATGCTATGCCAACCCTTCGAAATGTATTTTCATTTCTATTGTTGCTTTTCAAATAAAAGTTAGGCACCAGCAATATCAATATCGATAACGAAAATATTCATATTCATTTGATTTTTTGTGGTGTTGATTGCGAACAATCGGTATTCAAGAATCAGTCATTTAAGCGATTGCAATCGGCTGCCAAATTCTTAAATGTGCAACAAAAGAATGCGATAGCATTTCAGAACGATGAAACGTTTAAAAAAAGTTTTGAAATGTTCCGGAATTCGTCGCGTGCCAAAAGTTTACACATTAAGTGCGACCGGTGAAATATTGACCTGAAACTTTGGTTTAAGCTTTTATTTTTGCTTAATTTGCATAATATCTAGTGTTTTTAGCGTTTTGCTTGCTACCTGTTTCGCTTCTGGCGGAAATCCAGTAATTTTACTTTAAGTTCCGTTCAGATTCGTGGTTAATATTTAAAATTGCACTTCTTGGACGTGTTTTTCTTTAAGAAACTATAAACTGTAAAGCAAAGTGAATATTACTCTTTAACATGTCTCCAATCCACCTGTAAAAGGCGTTTTCTTTTTCATTTCTTCATTGATGCGCGACTGTGAAATCGATAATGAACGTACTTTTAGTCACATCACATTTTATGCTTTTATATCGATCGAAATCCATGGAAAAATCACTGTGAGGAATCAATAAATGTAATTCACCAAATGATGCATGCACTCCGAATAATTATTTAATAACCAAAATCAGAATAATAACATTATAAATAAAATTCTTAACTTTAAAGCAAAAAATGCAATTATTACCAATTTTATAGTAATATTTAATAAATTATGGAATGCTTGCAGGTAAAAACCGCAAGAATGCTAACATGCTAAACTAAAGACCTACTTTCGAGACATAATTCGATATTTTACTTGATTATCGAAAAAATTATGGAACTTTTCGTCATTAATCCACAATTCCACACGCGCATCATTAAATAACCGTATCGCTTACGACGAAATTCCTCGCGGTTTCTCTACTTCTTCACCTGCTACCGTCATACCCGTTGGTAGATTCAAACATTCAACACGTTTACCAAACAGTAGCAAAAACATCAAAAAGTGTCATTTTACACCGGTTGGTGTCGGAATGAAACCTTTAAAATTCACATAGTGACCTTTTCTCATCAGTGTAATTTTTTTTTTATTTTTAGGGGCATCTGGGTTGTAGGTTGGAACAAAATTGACATTTTCTTCATTAGAGATATATTACATAGCTTGAAGTTTGTCTATACGCTTTTTAAATGATTTCATCATCTTTAGATCTCATTATGGTCCATTAGTACAGCATCTTTTCAACTTTATATGTGATCCTGTATACAAGATTTTAGATTCTGATAGCAAAGAAGCTCCGAAAGATTTAAAACAAGTAAATGTTGGTGATAGAGATCTGTCGCCTTGATATTTTACTGATTTGCGAACAGATTGGCATCGATCGCAACAAATTTTACGAAAAACGGAACAAACCGAAAACACTCGTTCTGGCGCACGTAAAACATAAAAACGTGTATCGATTTCTTCACGATGAGATTCTCAGATCTGCACCATGAGATTACAGGATAGAAGGAAGGACATTCGCTCTAATAAGACGAAAATAATTGGAATTATTGCGCTCAGCGGCTGAAAAAAAGAGATTTTACGAGTCATATTACCAGTTTACTGCGTTTCGGACAATTTTTAGCAAACTTTATCACCAGCATTTCCTTGACATCATAAATTATATTAATTAACATTCAGTTTTGTTTTCTAATTTTTCTTTTAAATGTAAATAATAAAATTTTGAGTTAGGGAGGAACCACACACGTCTAGTCACCTACTGTGTTATTACATCCTTTGTTTTATTTGCGGCTTGCTTAAAACTCAATTTATTATGTTATACCACTCAATAAATTAAGTAGAAACTATAAAATTAAAATTTATTGAATTAATTTTTCAATTTTAAGTCGCTAGTTATGTGAAACTGTTAAGTATTCACAGGAAAGAATAAATCCAAGATTAACCGATGAATAAATCGCTGCCGTCGCTTAATTAAATTAATTTCAATCAAGACGCCGCCGGTTACAATTTGCAACGTCGCAATAAAAATTAATTTGCATTAATTTCTGGCTGTAGTCGCAAAATGTTACTTTCAACGATAAACAACAGTTTAGTACGGCCGTCGGAGGCTGAATTTCACCAACTTGGCAATAAATCTTCATAATTTATTGTTTTAAAAGTATGACGATGTTTTTATTTGCACAAAAATACAAAAATATGTTTATGAGATGTTTTATTACATTAGATAACATTTTTGTATTTAGATGGCGCTGCAATATTCATTTTGGAATAAATTTCTTTGTGAATTTGTGAATTTCGAGATAATATGTGTCCATGTAGGATAACATTCATAAGTTGAATCTAAATTATGAAAATAAAAAATTCTGTGGCTGGAAAGTTGGCTCCTAATTTAATTAAGAGATAAAATCGGTAGACGTTGTCAAAGTCGTCAAATTACCATTAAACGACGACCGCCAACTGCGCGAGAAATGACACGAGACATATTTTCGGCCGTGCCCACTTTTGTTTCCACTGTGAAGGGTGATTACGGATGCAATTTTATGTGAAATTTCGAAAATTTTAATTTTTATTCATTCCGAGTCCCACCTTTTCACTCGTCTACGGTGAATTTATGTTTTATGATACAAAGATCACATGAGAGTCGAAGAAAATTACCTTTTGGAAAATTAGATGTGGTAGCCCATGATGAAATGTAATAATAACCACGGGAACAGCTCAAAAATTAAAAATATATAAAAAAAAATCGTCATAAAAATATTGTAATCACTTAATTTACATTCCTGGCCTTTGTGATAAACAATTTATGTCTTAAAAATATCTAAATCTTTTGTTTTACCTACCCTTTAGGTCTAAAGTCATCTCATCAGAAGCAAAACCACCCTGAACGTTTTTTAAAGATTTTATAGCATTTTAAAATCAATATTTCTAAGATTTATTGTAGAAAGTCCCACTTTACGTACTTCATTACTTTATGCCTACATCTGATTTAAATTTAAATCCGACCCAAGGAGAAACAAATTGATTTCGATTTGTCTTATTCCTTCGCTCCAGCTTCAATGAGCACGCGCTGATCGAGATCGATGAGATCTGAATGTGAATCACGAGCACATCGGGCGATTAAAACTCGTCAAACACGCTAACGAAGTTCACTTTAGTGTATTAAAACTCGTTCAGGACGCAACGACGTTTAGTATCTAATCTCGATCGAGCAATTTGTTTATTTATTCAATTAACGCCGACCGATTAACTCTCCTGGAGTTAAAAAAAGCGAAGAAGAAGAGTCAAGGCGAAACGAAACTTAATCTAAGTTAGCGTCTTGGTCGTGGAGGTTGTCACAGTGTCATGGGGAGATAGTTTTAATTTAATAAATTACAATTTTAATGCGTTGTTCTAGAGCGTTCTAATTATCGACCTACAAGGAAAATCTTGATTAGAATTTATTTTCTAGTTGACATAGAGCATGAAAGTTCGAGTACCTATATGTTTAAAATGTCTTTTAATTCAAAAGTTTAAAACAAAAATTGAAAAATCAATTTCGATTGATTAAGAAATCAATTTTTTGATTTTTCAATTGGACAGATATTAAATTACAATCAAACTATGCATGTGATAAGTTTTGAGTTACAAAAATGATTTTAATTAAAATTTAAACGTGTTCATCAAATATTCCAACGAATCCTACGCAATATATCAAAAGCGTACCGGCATGATTAAATATGCAATAATATGTCTACTTTGCTTCTCGTTTTAAGCAGGAGTAATAAAATTAAATTTAAATTATAACGTTGTCGGCACCGACACACGCATTACTCAAGTATTCAAATAATCTAACAACCCTTGGCGGCTTATTTACTTCACAGAAACGGACTTAATCCTTAAACATGAAACAAATTTTAAAAATTTTGATTCTTTTCCTACAAATCCTACACTGCTAATGGTTTTAGACAGCAGTTTTGTCTTAAGGGCATTTGAGACTAAATAGCTACTCAGAATCAGCTTCGGTATGTCATTCCAGAATCTTCAGATCTTGATCGAAGTTATTTTAAAGTGGATCAAATCTGAGATCAAACGCGCGTCTGCTCAACGCATTAAATTCGATTTAAAGCTGGAGCTGATAGTTTAAAATAGTTTCAAATAGATTTAAACGTGAATGAAAGTAGGAGAGACGTACTAATTACTTTGACGCTTGTGGGCGGGTTGCGCCTGTCTTGTTAGTGCCTCTGTGGAAGAATAAAAGCTGACCAAGCGGTCTGGCAATTAGATAACAATCTAGTAAAGCGATCGCGGTGCGATTACACTGACTAGAGACTAGATAGTAGATTCAGTAGATGTACGACTGAGAGTAATCGATGACTACATAGTTATTTTCTATTTAAATTCAAATTGAAGGCGGGACGTGAATTAAAAAAATACAGAAAATCAGTTTTATCAAAGATATGATTTTCGTACACGCAAAAAATTAGATATAAGTTAATTAAACATTTATTTAATTGCCATTAAATTTATTTTTAAAGAAGTAATAACAACGCAAAGCCATATAACAAAATACGATATCAGAATTTAAAAAAATCAAATTTTACAATTAATTAGCATGTCTTCCAGTTTGTTTCAATTTCATTCACTTTTCCAATCATTTCACTGCCGCGTTGTTCAACACATGCCGAATTTTCTTGAGTAATTCTCTGAGCTTCTCCTTGAGTTTCATCTCTGATTTCCAATAATCTTGCTTGTATTTCTTTGGTCACATTATCAGCGCATTCTTGATAATGCACAACGGTTCTGCAAGTTGTCTCAGCTTCCTTCACTTTGCCAAACAGTTCATCAATTTGTTGCATTTGTTTCTCTCGTAGAACATTAATCAATGCATTATTACGACATTCATGAATCATATGCATTGTTGAGAAAAATGTCTCAATATCTGCGAGTGTTCTCTGTGCACAAGCAGTTGGAGCGTATTGCGCTTGGTTTTTAATTTGATTGAGTGTCCAAGTGATTGCAGTGATTCTACCGCTGATTTCCGATGAGATCTGTCGGTTGATGTTAGTGATCGCGAGCGAGATGTGTTGACGTTCAAATTTCAGCGATTGATATGCGCCGAACCAAGGATCTTGGGACCATGATTGGCCTCCCTGATAATTTTATTATTAATAATTTAATTTAATATTTGAAATGGTTTATTACCTTGATATAGAGAAGTGCAATAATTAAAATTAATGGAATTGCTTTGCACGCCATAGTTGATTCAAATTTGGAGGTACAACTTGAGTGTGAACACTAGCGTTATCTGTCGCGGAGGTTTCTTTAAATACAAAAAAGTTGGCTGGTTAAATATGAATAATTTATTGCTAGAAGAATTTGGACTTTTGGACTTTTGTAAGTAAAAAATGTAATTTTGAGGTTTTGACACATAAAATGGCAAATTGTGCAATTTTTAGCAAACAATGAGTAATAAGAAATTTGTTTTTCTTAACTTTGGACAATTTCCACGTTGGTCACACCAGGAATTTCCAAATGCGTTTTGTTGTCAACAAACTTTCACCACATGACGTTCTTTACTTATCTTGTTTATTTGCTCTGATATCTCTCCTCATGTGACAGTGAATGATTAATTATTTACTAAATATTCGCGAAGTTACCATTTTCATCATATAGACTATATATACAGCCCTGAGACATACTACAGTCAGTTAGATTCCACTTTTGGTAACGAAATATTCAGCTCACATCAAAATGATCAAGTACCTCACACTTTTCGCTGTTGTCAGTCAGGTTAGTATTAGAACTTTAACCAAAATTTAAATACTTAATAGCAACTGTCAAATTCAGGTGTTGGCCCGTCCTGGTATGGGTGGTATGGGAGGCATGGGTATGAACCCATGGATGTCCCAATGGATGGCCCCTGGTAGTGCTGTTCCTCCATGGGGTCAATGGATGATGCCACCAGCAGCCGCCCCTGCTGCACCAGCTGCACCAGCTGCCCCTGCACCAGCACCAGCTCCTCTACCTCCTTTTGGTAAAGGTGGTATGGCCATTGGAGCGATGAACAAGCAGCTTGGTATGACCAATGCCATCATTGGCAGCAAATGCAAGGCAGCTGAAGATGAAGTCAAAGCCCAACTTGATATCCTAAAATCAACCGCTTTACTAGTACCCGCTGATCCCTGTGGTGCTGCTGCTGAAGCCGCCGCCACTGATATCGAGAACCAATTGACGACTGCATTTGACGCTTGCAAGATGAAGGATGAGATGATGCAAGTGCGTATGCAGAGTCTGCAGTTCAAGCAGCAGATGACCGTCTTCAAAATGGCGAAGAAAGCCTGCAAAGCTAGTTTAGATCCAGTGACTTGCATGAGTGATGCCACTGCTGCTGCTGGTGGAGAAGCACCCACCGCCACTGTTGGACAGACTTTGGTTGATTTAAATACCAAGTCGGATGAATGCATTGCTGATACCAAGGAGTCTTTGTTGACCCAGATTGAGAATGCTCACGACGAACTCCTTGTTTGTTGAATTTGTTAAATTATAGAATTGTTGAATTGTTATTGTTAAATGAAGAATGTTGATTTTAAGATCTAGTAGGTGAATTAAAGGAACGAAGAGCATTTATATTTATTTGTAATTTATTTTGAAACATTGATTTTAATAAATATTATGTGATTTTTAATTTTTGTCTTTGAAAAAGTTCAAAATTCCTGTTTTATCATATTTCTGGTTTGTTCAGAAGTGTTCTTCAATTATTAAGACATTTATTAATGAATTAACTACCGAAAAATAAAGAAAAATTTCAGGTTTTAATTTTATTCCATTGATAAAAATTAAATCAATATTCTGGGTTTATATTATCATCTGTTAAATTTAAATAAATGAAATTGTTTAACGAAAAAAAGTTTATTTATCACAATCACTTTTTAAAAACCTAAAATTTCCAGTTTCCTATCGCAATTTTCATCTGCGTTTAAGGTCAAATGCAAATTTTACTTTATCACACAACAAACATTTAAAATTTACAACTTTTGTAACCCAGTAATCAAGTAGCTTATAAATCATTTTCAAAAACAAACAAATTATTCGTAAAATTTCCACAAATTTATTGCAAGCAAATTCAAGTCAGCAACACTAATTAAATAAATACTATGCAAACAATAAAAATTCAACAACTTTTCCTTTTAACAAATGATCAACAATTTATTTATAACAATTTTTCCTAATTAGTCCATAACTGAAACAAGACTTTTGTAACGTTTAACAATATCAATGCGTACGCCTGCAGGTCAGTGATAGTGGGTTCCGAGTTGATGCGTTCAAGTGCGCGCTGCAGTTGAGTGGATTGGCGGACTAGTTAGTACTCAATGTTGATCTCATCATCGTCTTTTAGAACAATGGGTTGATTGGGTTCTGCTTCTTTGATGGCAACTTCCTCAACTGGAGCTTCTTCAACTGGAGTTTCTTCAACTGGGGTTTCTTCAGCAGGAGTTTCTTCATTAGAAGGTTCTTTCACAGGAGTTTCTTCACTTGGAGTTTCCTCAACTGGAGCTTCTTCATTAGGAATTTCTTCAGCTGGTTTCTCTTCAGCTGGAACCTCTCCATCTCCACTCTCATTCTCATCTTCATTTGGAGTTTCTTCCTTTGCTGGTTCTTCAGTTTCAGTTTTATCTGAAGTTTCTTCCTCATTATCATCTACGGTAGTCTCTCCATCGTTATCACCACCCTCTTGATCATCTCCGGCAGTTGAACTTTCACCAGAATTACCTTCTTCTCCGTTATTACTAGCATCAGATGTCTGCTCTGTATCATCATCCTCACCACCGTTGTTTCCGTTGTTACCATCTTCAGTCTCAGATACCGATGGACCCTCGCTAACCTCCTGCGACCCAGAGTTACTTTCATTAGATTCTTTCGATTCGGAACTCTCGGAGCTCTTGCTTTCACTGCTACTTGAAGAATCATCCTTGGCAGGTGCCTCAGTCTCAACCGGGGCAGCAGTAGTAGGATTTAGACAATCTGCAAGTTCCAATTGAATTCTTCCACACTCCAGTTGAACATCATCGACAATACTATTGAAACATTGCGCACTCTCATTTCGGTGATTACCTAAACCCACGCTGATCACAGTTTCAACATCATTCAACTTAGCTTCCATAGCAGCGACGCTATCAGTGACACATTTAGCAATCTCCGCGGAATCTGTGGTGATGAAGGCACAGTACTTGTCTACAAGCATAGCTTCTTCATGGAGATTCTTCAAGTAACCGTGCAGATCTTGTTGGAGTTCCTTCAGATTCAATTTGTTGTTGCACAATTTAAGTTCGTTTGCACGTTGTTCAACGGCCCTGGATTGAAGATTGGCAACTTGTCCACAAAGGGTACCTTTGCCTTCTTTGATAGCTGTCTTCAACTGCTTCAGGGCCATCTTGGTATTGAGTTTTACCATGTCCATAGCATGTTTCTTTTCTGTTGATGCCGTCTTAATATCATTCTCTAGCAGTAATGCTTTCAAATCAATCTGCTGAACAACATTTTGAACTTCGGGGGAGAGCTTCGGTTTGATGCTTCCACCAAGAACCTAAATTGATTTTAAAAAATATTTTAGACACAATTAAATAGTTTTGAGTGATTGAATTACCTGTACTGTGTAGAGTACCAAACACACCGTTAACACTTTACTAAACATTTTGTATTTTTCAGAGACGACTTAATTTCATGCAAGTTGTTCGTTCAATTCGATTCGTATACTTTTGATATAAATAATGGAATGGATTAGAATGAGTGAGTGCCGCGACACACTTAGTATTTATATCAAATTTTCAGGCAATGCAAACATTAACTCTCGAAACCAGTACAAACATCTGTGGGCCATGACGTCGCTTTTTGCTGATAAGAGATGCTCCAGCACAACAAGGAATTTCCACGATAATTTTCATTGTGATTGTGAAATTAAACTTTCCATGAAAGTGAAAATGACTCAATTGTTGATGATTTTTTTATTTGGTAAACCATAGCTTGACACTGAGAGATTAATTAGTGGTATAAATTTGAGGCCCAATTGCTATAGATTTAAATTTTCCATTTCCTCTCATCTCGCATTCTAGTTCAAACAGTGAGACTTGCTTTTCCGAAATTATGTAATCTGCGAAATATGTTGCTATTTAACTCTAGAAAATAACACGTTGTTTATCGCATTGTAAATTTATGATACAGCTGACGTAAATTTTCAAAAGATGAATCATTATTTATTATTCAAAACTAAAAAAATTAAATTGTCGTCATAATCAATGTCAGCGAAAGTTAAATAACAAATAAACTATTTTCCTCTAAGGCATAGTGCGTCAGTAAAATTTCACTTTGTGGAAAATTTAGAAAGTGTTTGCTCATGATTTTCCGAAAAGAAAGATTATGTTGCAAACAAACAAATCTAAAATTCATTGTTTTTAATTCCTGGTAACATCAAAATTTTAAAAATAAATTAAAATAATTATTCACGTTAATTACTACCCTCTGAAAACGCTAAAGAGTCTATAAACTCTTCATGCATGAAAACATATGGTTCTTTTCAGTTATGACATTCGCAATAAAACGTACGAGGATTCGTTTTCAGGCTTTGTTAGCCATGCGTGGCAAACATAAAACTTCTTCTAGATAACAATGTGTATACTCGAATGTACACGTATTAAGAAATACCTCTATTTGTGTTTGTAAAGTAACAATTTCACAAAATTGATCTAAAACGAACAAATATTGAATTATTTCTCAAGTTTAAAACATGTACACACTCTCAAATTTTATTTGTGGTTAATCAACACCTAATAAAACCCAAGATTTGTTTCTTAATCAAGAACTTCAAGTTTTAATACAGTCATCTAGTTAACTATGAATTTATCTATTTATTCAATGGTTTAAGACAAATAATCAACGATGAATTTACTTAAAACAACGATTTAAATTCGTGATTTCAACGCCACTTATTCAATGACTTAATTATTAGTCCTATCACACCTTGAAACTCTTTAAAAGTTTGTTGTTATATCAATTTTTACTCCATTTACACTCAACCTTGATGCTCGAATACATTTGAATTTTTCAACTCGCTTTACATTTTTAACACATATTCAACGCAATTAAACACATCTTGTGGCGCGTTGATAAAGTCCTAAAATGTAAAAATTATGCCGTGATAATTACGTTTTTATTGCCTTTAATTTGATGTCAATTCACGTTCCGTACGCCTAGAATTGAGTTGTTATCAAAAGAGAAAAAATAAAAATTTGAAGTCATTAAAATGTTAAACAGGATAGAAAACGCATTGGAACTGAAATGTTAAGTACTTTTTGATGACACCCGCTGAAAATTTGTCATTATAATGTTATTAGATCCTAATGTGCTGGTAATCTATTCTAATTTATTACTTTGGTCCATTGTAATGCAGAAATTAATATCTGGGTCAAATTTGAATATAAGTTATTTTGGTATAATTAATGTATTTAAAGTTCACTTTCTGTTTCAAAGTTATGATCTATATTAAAATGAATATAAGCTAATTTTGGGTCTAATTGATGTCTTATTTTATATTTTGGTACGATTTTAATACTGCCTGCGGGCAAATACCACCAAGGTTTTTAGATTTATGTGAGTTTTAATGCTTTAAGTACCAATTAATACTTCTAACTAATTTTTGGAAATTGCGGGTTGTTAAGGCGTCGATATATCAATTTTTTATATTTAATTTATTGCTTGTTTAAAGTTTATACTTCAATAATGACATAATTCAAAGAAATTCAATTTTATATTATTAAAAAATTAAAATTTGGAACAATTTCACGAGAAAAAGAAATTTGACACGTGATTTTGACAATCGACATGAACAAATATACAAAGTGATGCCAAAATTTAAATTTTACGTTAATTTAACGTAGCAAACACTCAATATTAATTCTTCAGGCAAAATGAGAACAATTCAACTCCGACAAAATGTGAAAAATGACATTTGAAGCGACAACCGTTTATGCCTGTCCTCTTGACTTGCTTCTGTCGTTATTATTTATTCCTATTCATTCGATTCTTCGATTCTCTACTAGAAAAAGACGATGTAAATGTTCATATGAGTTTGTGAACTGCTGGGATTGCAACTAAGAATGTAGTAGTAAGTTTACGTTGAATGCGGTCGAATGGTCTTTATGCCCATGATGCATATACCCATAGGGGTCGGCATATTTTAAAGATTTATTCGTTTTTCGGACCTCGGACCTCAGACCGGACCTTTATAACATATGATCATGATCGCGCGCGCCGAGACTTTCCGTTTCTTCTTTAAAACGTTCAGCATCACACGTGCTGAATGTTTCTACCTCCCAAGGTAAGCTTCTTAGGGATGGACCGGCCAGATTACACAATTTCTAACAGTAGAAAACGGTCAGTTTGGACTTTAAATTTACGTCACTGCCATTTGTGTACTATTTGAATTGAATATCTACATGTCAACGTTTATGTAAAAGTGAAAAATTTAGTTTTAGAGTTTTATATTTTGGAATAGCGCAGAACATGCGCCAGTTTATAACTTATTTTATCGGTTATCAAAAGTCCTTAAGATTCAATATCAAGCACAGAAAGCTTCTTCGTTTTCGGGCGGTTTATTTTATGACTGCGCTGATCGAAAATGAGAGCAGCGATATGGCAATCTCATAAATCAAACTTTTATCCAGACGCTATAAAAATGCTTCGCAAACGTTTTTCTTTCGTTACTTGAGAGCAAGGCACAAGCGATTGTTATCTTATATTCAATTAAATTATAATTTCTAGTGTGTACCTAATAGTCAACTTAAAGTACTTTGAATTACGCTCTTCTTATCGTCGAAAAAGTGATTTTAAAGTTTCAAATTTAAATCCACACTTTGTGCGGTCTGATTTTACGATCATTTAAATTATGTAGATATTCAATCTTTAACCAAAATTTCCAAATCAGTTTTTGTTTGCTCTTCAGTCCAGTTTTATATAGATTTTTTTATTATTTAATCAGGTTCCTTTTAAAAGAAATTCTTAAAAATCAAACAAGCCGCAAGTTTAATTAATTAATTAATTAATTAGCAGAGCGCTATTAGCTGCTTGTAAAACCAGCAGTTCCATACGTTAGGAGACCTGTTATTAATTGTGTTGATAAACTTTTGAAACTATATTAATTTTCCGAGTGCATTTTACGACGAGAAGCAATTAATATGATATTTCTTGAATTAGAGTATAATTGTCAGCTAATGGATTAATAAAAAAGTAAAAAATATAGCATATAAACCAGAAATTCAAATAATTGATACAAATTTGTCCGTAAAATAATATTGAATCCCTTCTTCTTTGTATTTTAATCGGTGAATTTTATTTTTAGACGAATTTTTAATGAGTACACATTTACGATCGTGTTCTTGCACACTCGCTCGTTCGGTCGCAGTCATCGAGCGATTAAATTGTGCTACGTCTTAATTACGTCGGCTGCGTGATCGCAACGGTCGCTTGAAGCTTGTAACCCTTCGAACAAAACGCATTTTCGGGCGAACAACTCAACTGTGCAAAGTTGAGCATCACTGAATGCGCACAAATTAGTTTTGTTCGGTCTCTACCTCAAAAAACACTGTGCGTGCAAGTCATTGAGCTTCATTGGAAAAATTTACCTCATTGTTCCTGATTACCAACTAAACTTTTTTACCTTTATTGATTTTATTAACATTTTCGGACCAAAACTGAAGAATTTTCGTCTCGGATTCCGCCGTTTGCCCGTTTGTCGTTTCGAGATCACCAATGGTGGTCCACATCGATTGTGGACAATTCAATTAACTTGTTGCGAGGTTCCGACCGTCTGTGACTTCTTTATTTCCATCGTTACTGTGTGCACATAAGCGCAGCAGCCAAATTCATTCGAACTCGAACCACAACTGCGCCGACATCACCGCGATGACATGTCGCAGATGAGTTCAAGAGCAGATTAATTCGCTTATATGGTCATTTTGCGCTCCTTCAAACTTCTTTGATTCAATGATCAATGTCAACAACATCAAAATATGATCCGCGGTCAAAAAAATTAATCAGTTTGTGGTTATTATTGAGTTTGTAATGAATTTTACAATTATGTACCTACGATTATCCATCGCAATAAACAAAGATAATTGCCTTATCATGGAACATGTTGAGTATTTCGGTTGTGCCTTGCAGCTACTGCGTAATTTTCAACTTGTTACAGCGCGTCTTAGTTGTCTCGCTTGATGTTTATTTAATATGCATTTCATTCAACGATTTTATAATTGCACTTGGAACGAGCAGGACACGAATGCAAATTTTATTCTGTGCATGCAAATTGTGCCTTATGGTTGGTATTTTTATTCATATAATTGTTTGGATAAGTTTGGCTTTAGTTTTAAACACCAAAAATACAAATTTTTCTATTTTTGACCTGATAACTTGTTAAAATATCAAATTACTTGTTATAATTGTAGCCAGCTACTTTATTCACTCCTGGTTGGTGTTAACGACCAAATTGTGTCATCATTTATCAAATATATAAAATATTTTAATTAAATTTCGAATAGTTTTTTATATTTTCCTGTAAATTTAACTTTTTATGTTTAATACATTGCCTTGAACCCTAACAGCAAGGGGTAAATGCGACACTCCGGTACATCACTTACGCTGATGGTTAACGAAGAACTTGATACTGTGGATTAGAAAAAACTGAAGAATACAAAGAACAAACACTAAGAACGATTGCTCAAAATGTTGGCTCCCAGTTATAGCTGTCAGTTGG